ATTATTTCTAGTGTAATAATGAACATTAAACTGTATAATTTAATGAACATTAATGTTGCCAACACAAGCATATTTCGTAATATAAAATCAAACTCAACCAAAATATATWAAAAAATAAAAAATATCTAAGTAATTGAAATGTTGTATGTGTGTAAGACGAAGGCAACAATATTGTACATGTGGCGATGGCGTCCTCTTAACACATGAATGCTTAAGATTATCAATTTTTATTAATAAAATGTCTTAAAAATGTTAAAATATTATCCAGTAATTATTAAGATCTTGATCGTTCTAAAGGTTTAAGTCACAATATTTTATAAAACCTAATTGTGTATATATTTAAAAAACATATTAATTAATCATCTTACATGATTATCACTTGTTGATATGCCGTCGTCTATATTTGCAGGCTGAGCAGTTGAAGTACTCTGTACATTTACTAGATCTTGATCGTTCTAAAGGTTTAAGTCACAATATTTTATAATACCTAATTGCGTATACATTTAAAAGACATATTAATTAATTATATTCATATTACTCTATCAGTCGCTATGAGGTTGCGGACGAAGTATGAAGTTAGTTGAGCAGCCAAAGTACTCTGTACGTTTATTAGGTCTTGTTCGTTCGAAAAGTTTAAGTCACAATATTTTATGAAACCTAATTTCGTGTATAAATGTATTTAACTTCTACGTTTGTAAAAAATTAATTAATCTTTTCGATTATGCTGACATATTCGGCATAATTATGTGTACCTTTAAAAGTCCTCTTGCTTTTTTGTACAAAAATCGCCTGCTCATTTATACCAATCCTATACCGGCTATTGCTCCTAGTGCTATAAATGATTTTGTCTTCATCTTGAAACCCAGACAATTGTAGTTTTCAATAAGCAATAATAATTAACTCGTTTACTATATTTTGTGTATAGCAATATAGGTACTATAGAGTACTATTTATAGGTACTATATAGGTACTATAGGTATTATATTGGGTTGTATTTACATTGAAAACTATATTATTTTGCAGTGTTCATATTTTATTTTGAAATTCTGCGGTTCTGCCTAATAACTTAATTTATTATACTACTGTTATTAAATTGACTGCAATTCAAGTTTTGTTCTACACAATTTACTTAATCATATTACATTTTTTCACATAGGTACCATGATTTTTTTTATCAAAATGTGCTCATGTGTCTACTTCTGACATTTCAAATATTTCCATTAGATCAATCTTGATTTTTAACAGTTTCGATTGTATCAAAACCTATGACATTTTGAGAATTTTTAATAAAAGTTAATTATTAAATATTCGATTTGTAAGTGTTATTAGTCAAACTTCGTTAAATAAATGTATTTTGTTCTTTCTGAATTTTTTATCAAATCGCATACGTAGAAATATAGAATGTACCTACCATTGCACCGTGCTGACTGTAATTTTATTTAGGTACCTCCACATATCCGTTCAGCGATAATATTAATAATTATTTATAAATTAATAATACCTATGTTATAATATACCGGGTGATTCTTTTATCATTGAACAATCATTATTTCAAAAATTACTAATGTTTTTGA